TGTACTGTTTCCCCAATGAGTAAGATAGGTTTCTATACTCAACTGAGTATGTATATATATTCTTCCCTCTTTGAACCAATTATGATGAAAATGAGTTTCAAGCATTGTCCCCCTTTTATGCCTTCACTATAAAACCTCTTTCTCATGTGCTTATTCGTATAGGAAAAATTTTCTTAATCTACCTCTCCCTTCCCCCTTCTCCCAGTGCATCCCTCTCTCCTACCCCTTCATTTTTTTTTGGAGATCATCCCAACATAATTGACTTATACCCATGCTCCCTTTCTATGTAGCCTGCTTCTAATTGCCCTAATAATGATAAAGTTCTTTTCTTTAACTTCATGGAGTCATTAGCTTCCATTTGCTGAGTTCTAATTTTTTTTTTGTGAGGCAATCAGGGTTAAGTGACTTGCCCAAGGTCACACAGCTAGTATGTGTCAAGTGTTGGGTCTGAGGCCAGATTTGAACTCAGGTCCTCCTGACTTCAGGGCTGGTGCTCTATCCACTGTGCCACCTAGCTGCCCCCTGAGTTCTAATTTTTAAAGAATTAATTTCTTCAATGATCTTTTGTACCTCCTTTTACATTTGGCAAATTCTGCTTTAATTTTTTTCAAGTTCTGCTTTTTAAGGAATTCGTTTCCTTCATAAATTTTTGTACCTCTTTTTACCATTAGGCAATTTTATTTTTTTAAGGTGTTATTTTCCTCAGTATTTTTGGTGCCTCTTTTTCCAAGCTGTTAATTCCTTTTAATAATTTTCTTACATCACTCTTATTTCTTTCTTCACTTTTATGACTTTCTTTAACTCTTCCAGGAATTCTTGTTGCACTTGGGTCCAATTAGCATTTTTCTTTGAGGCTTTGTTCTAGCTGTTTTCACATTATTATTTTCCGAGTTTATATCTTGATCTTCATCACTATAGCAGCTTTTTGTGGTCAAATTCTTTTTTTGCTGTTCTCTCATTTTTGTAGTCTATTTCTTGACTTTAAATTTTATCTTAAAGTTGAACTTTGCTCACCTGGGGATGAAAAGGCATTATCCCAAGCTTCAGACTTTTTTATGCTGCTTTTAGAGTTTGTTATGGGAGTCTATAAGTTTTTGGTGCCTCCCAAGTGGTGTTATCCTGGAAGGAGTGTGGTTACTGCACTCCTTGTCTGTGTTCTAATCCTTGCCCAGGAAGGGTCTTTGCTTCCTTGAAGCTGCCAGTGCTAATTCTCCTCTTGACCTTGGAACTGGGACCGGGACCCCTGCTCCCTTGTGACCAGAATACAATCACTCTCCTCCAGCCTGGAACTGTGACCCAGAATTGTTTATGGGCAATAGAATTGTCAGTCAGTACCAGTTGTACCCAGTGTGAGCAAAGAGTCCCCTGTAATCTTTTTCTGACCAGTTGTCCAACCCTTTTACCATCTCTGGACTGAGAGCTCCTGAAGCTGTTGTCACAGCTGCCTCCAAGGCCCACTCTTGTGCTGCAGCTGCTCTCACTCCATGCTGACACCTACCCCAGCATCATAGAGCTTTCCTGCCAACCTCCTAAGTTGTCTTATGCTAGAAAAGTCTCTCACTCTGGCCGATTGTTGGCTCTGCTATTCCAAAAATGGTTTTGAGGAGTTATTTTAAAGTTGTTTGGAGGGAAATGTTGGGAGGGTTAGGTTGAATTGTTGCTGTGCTCTGCCATCTTGGCTTCCCCTCCAAAGTTCTTGATAGAGGAAAGAAAAGCTAGGCATAGTCTAGCATGCACTTTAAATTTTGGGGAAATGGATTTCAGAGTGTTTAGGGTAAAGATAAGAAAAGATTCTACAGCCTAAAATTCTTTAGAGAGATAAGTAATCTCAAGAAAGATTGAAAGCTTCTCTCCATTCAAGAATGGGAGACACAAAGAGAGTTGATCTCAATTAGAAGAAAAAGGGGAACTGTTTAAAAAGACTCATGTGGTTCCAGAGGGAACTCAGTTAGATTATGAATCCTTGAGTTATAAAAAGACATGTACAGAAGATGGAAGAAAAGACAAGTGCCTGTGGATAAACAGAGAAGAAGAACAGGGCCCCATAAAAATAATGCCAGGAACAATCAAGCCCAGAATAAGCCGAAGGTGTCAATACATGCTCTGGATAGTGAAACCAGCTAGTTTAGCCATGTGTTGGGGCATGAGGGAGACCAGAGAAGGGAATAAGACTGCTGTCTGGGGTGGAGAGGATATTGATGATGGATGACAGAGAAGAGGCAAAATTACTTAAATCTTATTCTCTTCATATTTTCTCTTACAAGATTAATGACCTCTGGACTGGGAAGGCTGGACCAAAAGGTTATCAGGGAATTAAAACCCCCCATAAGTGAGGAGTTATTAAGAGAAAACCTAGCTGTCCTCAAGGATTTCAAATCACTAAAACCAAACTATACTCTAGAATACTGAAAGAACTAGCATATATCATTGCTGGACTGTCATCTGTGATTGTTAAAAGACTGTTAGGAATGGCTGAAGAGGTATAGGATTCTAAGAGGCCAGATGTCTTCATTTTCCAAAAAAGGAAGAAAGCAGAGGCTGCAACTTTTGCAGTGAGAATTTTCCTAGCAAAAATCTAGCAATGTTACTAAAAGAATATTTTGCAAGTATTTAGAAAAGCATAACAGTTGTCATTACCAATTCCCTCCCCAACAGAGCTAGCTCATTAGTTCCTGCAAGTTTTTAGGGGCTATGAAGGAAAGAACCAGTGGGGCTTCATTAAGAATAGGTGAACAGGGTATGCCACAATGACCTCATTTCCATTTGTGACAGAGAAGAAAAAATTTAGGGGGTGAGTGGGGCATGATCTATGTTTAAGTATTTGAAGGACTGTGTTGTAGAAGGATTAGGATTACCTGGCTTGTTCCCAAAGTGGTGGGAAAACCAAAAACGAAACTAGGAGCTATGGTCAAGTTGCAAGAGATAAATTCAGGCTTGACGAAAGGGGAAACTTCCTAACAATTTGAGCTATCCCAAAGTGGGATGACAGGCCTCCTGAGGTTACTGAGTGCTCAGAGGTCTTCAAGTTGAGCTTGGATCATCACTAGTCAGGTATATTTTATAGGGGATTCTTGTTCAGTTAATCTATCAACAAACATTTAAGCATTTACTAAGCACCTACTGTATGTTATGTGCTGTAATAAGCCCTTAAGATACAGATACAAAAAATGAAACAATCCCCATTCTTAAGGAACTTACATTCTAATGGTGGAGATATGTACATAAACACACACATATACTCACATATGCACACACATATATGTGAATGTTTGTATATATGTGTGTAATACTTACAAACCTATATCTATATACATATGTATATGTGTGTATATATATGTGCATACATGATAAATATGAAGAGAATAGCTATAAATATGTACAAAGCAGTTAAATACAAATTAGGAAAACCATCATGTGGAAAGTGGTGTTTGAGTTTTTTTTTTTAAGGAAAAGAAGGATTTTATGAGGCAGAAGTCAAGAGGGAATGCATTCCAGGTATGAGGAATGGCCAGTGCAAAAGTGTGGAGATGGGAGATGGTATGCTGTGTATAAGGAACAAAGGAAGGCCAGTTTGACTGTATTGGAGAGGACAAAAAGGGAAGTAATGTACAATGTGGCTGGAAAAGATAAGCTGGGGCTGGGCTGGTGAAGGGATTTAAAAGCCAAACAGAGATGTTTGTATTTTATCCTAGGAGGCAATAGGGAGCCACTACAGTGTTGTATGGGGGAATGACACGGTCAGATCTGCTGCTTAGGAAAATCACTTTAATAGCAATGTCAAGGATGGTCTGGAGTGGGGAGAGATGACACAGGAGGAGAGATGGTATAGGAGACCAATTAGACCAATTGTCTTGACTTGGTTTGGACCAGATGAAATTTTTTCCAACCTTGAGATTGTGATTTCTGACTGCCATTAGGAAAGACTTCACTGGTGTATAGGAAAGAATACTCTATTTGAGCTCATGGGATTATAGGATCATAATTTATATAGAGAGCTGCTAATTTCAAATCCTGCGTTATATTTTCCCTGTATGGTCTTGGGCAAGTCTCTTTACCTGTCTCTGGTCTTGAGTTTCCTCACCCATAAAAGGAAGCAGTTAGATTGAATGACTTCTAAGGTCTCATCCTGCTCAAATGACCTTTATGCATAAAATCTTGATGAATTAAATTATAAATGTAGTAAAGTCATGGTGACTACTTTCTGAATGAAACCTTGTGGTTTCTGGGGTTTTTTTCAGTTTTGAAATTACATCAACTTGGGCATTTGGGACAACAAATTTTTCATCTAAAGTAGGAGCTTTGGCAATATAGTAATCAGAGTAGCTAAACTCAGATGCTTGTTGGCAGGAATTTGAAAATCTGCCCTCTGGCTTCTTTTGCTTCTCATCAGTATTTCATAACATAAAATTAACAAGAATTTCACATAGATGAAATTTGCCTACTGAATGATGCGTGCAAATAACACATTCATCAATTAGCATTTGGGTACTTTGATTAAAACATTTTGCAAGTGATTTCACTTTAGTATCAGTTGAAGAGCATAGTTAGGAGGAAAAATTTGTTTTGGCACAGGGCATTCTTATGTCCTTCTTCCATTTAACAGACCAAACAAGTAATATCAATTTCAATGTGGCCCTTTTCCTATTCAGGTAATCTTTTTCTCCTGCAACCTTTAAGGTCATATGAAACATAAAGTAATAGGAATTGTCATAGAGAATTACAGTTCCAATTTTAAACAAGGCCAAACAATGACTTCATACTTTTATTGATGCTCTACCAGAGCTAATTGGACAACTTTTCCTTCCCCAGTCTGGGGTTTAAATCTTTTGTTTCGATCTCAGTGTTCATATTTCAGTCACACCTTTTAATTGCATTAGTTCTGTTATTCACATGCTTTATGTTTTCTCTTGTTATTCAAATAATTTTTTCTCTTTCTGTTTTCTTATTTAAAAAAATTACACATGTCTCTTTTGTCAACAACCTTTAATGTTCTCCCCTAGATACCTCGAATCATCCTAACTCACCCTTCCACTTCAGATGAGGACACTGACCTACTGTCTCAAGATCCAGATGACTTCAGGAGGGAAGACATCACTGTTGATGGTGTCCTGCTCCATTCAGACTGTCTGAATAATGCTTCTTATCCTCCCTAATAAAATGATCCCACTGAAGAGCTTGTTTTTTATAGTTAAACTTTGGCTAACACTGAACCACAATGCCTTATTCATAGGTTAGCAGGTTTGCAGGAATGTCGACTTTTAATTGGGACAAACAAAACTCATTGCTCTTTAATTCACCTCACCTTCAAAGTAAGAAAGATGATTCCTTTGGGATTCTGTGCCCTTGGAAATGTAATGATTTGAATCAAGGGACATCCATGATTACCTTAACATTTCTTGGGTGCACTTTTAAGTGCACTTTACAAGCATTCCATAGTTACTGCCAGTGAGAGAACATAAGGGTAGTTTTAATCTTTACATTTCACTGGGGGAAATGGTAAAAGCAATTGTATAGATTTTTACCTTATTCTATTATGCTCCCCAGATGCGGCCTATTCTTTGCTTCATTTATAAAATCTCTTAGTTCCCGAAGGTTGTTCATATTATGTTGCTTTCTATTTGAATAAAATATCATTTTCAGTCTAGTGAATGCCTTTTTTCTCCCCTCCTTATAGCTTTGGTGTGTTTTTATAAATATATGAGCCACTTGAATTTACAACTATTCCCACAACCCCTGTACTCCCCAGATCCTCACCAGGAGTGTCAGACAGACACTTCACACACACAGCTACTTTGTTTCTCACCAAAACTTGTGCCTCAATTCCCAATACACTCCTTTATCCACTAGCCACTGCTGCTTCTCTTCAAAGTATTTTTAGTTCTGAGTCTGAGAAACAGAATATAGAACTACTCTCAGAGGATCTACAACCTGAAAACTGGAAGATTTAATATTTCCTGTATGGAATAACCTTTTGAAGTGATGCTATAAAGTACCATAAAGGTTTATCCTTGATCATGTTATGATTTTTTTATTTTTGTCTATGTGAGTATTAAGATTATATGATATCTTGACAGAACAGTAATGATAACAATGAGTTCTCATGGGGATCAGGCTGGCTGACTGAGCAAAGGTTAACCACTAAGCCAGGGGTGGCAGTTTTGTGCTTAAGGTCTTTATTCTTTAATAGTAACTAAAAGCTAATATTTATATAGTGGTTACTATATTCCAGGCACTATGTAAGTGCTTTGCAATGATTATCTCATTTGATCCTCACAACTCTGGAAGGTAAGTGCTATCAGTATCCCCACTTTATAGATGAGCAAACTGAAGCAAACAGAGGTTTTTTTTTTTAACCTTTGCCCACAGTCACACAGCTAGTAAGTAACTGAATTCAGAGTTGAACTCCATTCTTCTTGACTCCCCAGGTCAAGTGTGCCACCTAGCTTGTGTCCTTTAATGTTTGGGAGGCAAGTTGAATCTCATTCCAATCCTTACTTTTCCTAAGTTCTATGACTGTGACCAAGTCTTATAATTTTAACTGTAATAAACATTTATGAATTGCTACCACACAAAGGACACTGTGTCAGATGTGAGAGAGATAAAATGATTAGGTAAGACAAAGTTCCTGCCCTCAGAGAACTTACAATCTAGAAAGAGGGCATTTAAACAAAATAATCTGAATAAAAAGTGATATTAATTTCTTCAGGGCATTCTCCAACTAAAGCTCCCTGGGTTCAAGGTGCTCTGTTTGTTCACTTCTACTCAAAACTAAAGCTTTTGGGGCCCCACTAATTGTGGTTAACTTTGTCAATCAGCTGGAGAGCACAACTGGTTTTTAAAAAAGGTATTTAATAAAATAGCATAATAGCAAAAGTAATAATGAAACACAATGATAAAACAAATAATAAATAACAAACATTTCCCTTATAAGCCTGGGGCATGCTCTCCCACAAATAAATAAATAGGGAGAAATTAGCCACTTTCCCACTGTGAGTATAAGGAGTGGACATGTAAAGTGAATGCATATGGTAGGAGTGCTGGCGTGGAGGGATATTCAAAGAGGAACAAGGTTTCGCTAGCACCTATGGAGGAGCATATCCATAAAGAACACATGTACATGGCTAAGACACATGCATGGAGGGGCAATTCCCATCTCTGACTGTGAAGGACCTCAGACATTTTTTGGTGATATCATTCCTCTGTTCTCGCCATCTCTTGTAGCACATAATCTCCACCAGATATGCTCTCTGCCAGACATTTCCTTGTTCCTCTGCTGTAAATGTAGTCTTCACTTCCTGCTGTTCTCCTGTGGTTGCTGCCCAACATTGCACCATTGGCCCTACCATCACTGCTGGTCTCTTCTAGGTGTGACTCCACTGAGCCACTATGTTAATCAGTTTAAATCTGGAAGGGGATGCAGAGATAATGTAGTCTGACTCCCTCATTGAGAAACTGAAACTCAAAGATGCTAAGTAATTGATCCTAATTATATGGGTTCTAGTCAGTAGTGCCAATATTTGAAACTCAGCCTTCTTATGCCAACTCCAGTGCCCTTCCACTGTAGCATTGATGGAGCTTCTAATTTCTAGCTTCTGGTTTCAGTTGGAGTCTGTAGCTGGGGTGCTCTCTTCCTCACAGGAGGATGAGTGGGCCCTCCCATGCTCCTTTAGTTTAAAGTACAGACACTTTCTGTTACAACCTTTTCAGAAAAAAAAGGCAGAAATCTAAACATAGCCAGTCATCACACTAAGAGAATAAAAAACAAAACAAAAAATCTTAGGGATAAGCCCTTCTTGCTTTTTGTTTTGTTTTGTTCAGGTTTGGTGTGGTTTGGTATTCCGCAGGGAGATCTCTCTATTTTACTCAGTCTTGGCTATAATGAGTATTTCCTCTTCAGAAGGGAAAACCTTTGCCCCAGTTGCCTACCTCTTTAGAACACAGAACAGGTCTAATTAGCTAGTGTACTAAGGCCTAAGTCTATTTTTTTTTTTTGAAATATATTTACTGGTCACTGAGACCTGCATCTCCATCAGAGACTGTTCTCTAGCTAAGTGCTAGGAAGTTTATGAAACTTCCTGTTTAATTCCCAACTGGGGATCCTGTTCCCTCAAACTCATTTCAGAGAAAACTTAGCCCCCAAAGCCCTACAAAGCCATATGAGTCTGTTCCCTTCCAATATCTTGGTAGAGCCAGCGTGCTTTCTAACTGCTACCCAAATGGAACTAAACCAGCACAAAAATTAAACCCTGGAGTTGAGGTCATTGTCTGTCTCCTACCTCACCACATTCTTGATCCTTCATGTCTATGTGAACAGACAAAACCTATTTCAGACTTTGAGCTTCTCCTACAGATACATACAAGGCAAAACAAGAAATAAACAGGCCAAGAACTTTGTGGAATGGGGCTCACGGTGCTAACTATCGTGGGTGCTGATGAAGAGGAACACATTAGTTATTTCTTGTAAGCCTATCCATGTTTTTCCACAATCAACAAACTCTTCATTTCTAATAGCATCATGATCATATACCATGACTTGTTCAGCCATTCTCCAATTGATGGACATTCCCAAAATTTGCAGTTATTTGCCACCACAAAAAGAGCTGCTATAAATATTTTAGAAGACATAGATTCTTTTCTTTCTTCCCTAGTCATCTTTGGAAATAGACGTACTAGTGGTACTGCTGGGTAAAAGGGTATAGGCAGTTTATTAACTCTTTGGGCATAATTCCAGATTGTTCTCCAAAATGGTTGGATCAGTTCAAAGTTCCACAAAAAGTGAATTAGCGTCCCAATTTTCCCACATCCCCTCCAACATTTGTCACTTTATCCTTCAATCATTTTGCAGTTAGCATTTTAAAAATTTTTACTGTGTAGTAGAGATGTTTGTATTCTTTCATAAATTAAAAATAAAAAAGAGGAATGTTGGTATATATTATACCACTGTGACACCAGGAATGGGAATTAGGATTGTGGTACCTGCTAAAAAGTATGGATGAGACAGATTGTGTCTCTGCTACAACTAAAGCATATTCAAAATGGAGATAGCCATGAATAACTTGGACTGTAATATTTACCACTTGACAATAGTCAATAAACATTTATTAAGCACCTACTATGTGCCAGACATCATGCTAAGCAGTGTTCTATGACCAAGTAACTTTCATTGTGTGACCCTCAATTTCCTTATCTGGTAAAAGGGAGAATAATATTTGCTCTACCTGCCTCAGAGGGTTACTGTAAGGAAAATGCTTTGAGAGGCTTAAAGGACTATAGAAATGTGAGCTCTTTATTACAAAACCTCCAAGATCTTGCATCTCAATGCTTAAGCAATGCCAGTTCAATTAAGATGAAATAAAGTGCTGAACACAAATTTGCCCAGCTAGTTTCATGCTCAGAATGTGTTATTTTGACATACTCCATCTTTAGGCTGTAAAGAGAGATTGGATGGGGAAGAGAGATAGGGTTCTTCAGCTTGGAAATCGACACTTGAATTACATTGAACATTTGCAAAGAGGATGCTAAAAAGGAAATAGCCTCAAGATCAATGAAAGGCATTTCGACCATAAGCAGAATCCACAAAAACATGACCTCAGTATGAACTAAGAATGAATTGAAGCCAGTACAGGTCCTTGTGATTTGATGTGTGCAAGGTTACAAAAGCTGTGATAAACAGTGACTGAGGCAGGGCATCCGGGAGATGTGAATGAGTAAAGTTTGGGGAGCAGGAGGAGAGGAGTCATGCCTTCGAGCATCATGAGTCTAGAAAGAGAGTAGATTGAGCCTTCAGGTATGTGCTTCTCTGTGTTGAGATGCTGAGGAGATTTATATCATGGATGCATAGCAGGCCTATTTCTTATACCTTGTAGCTGGAACTATTTAGGCTCAATTAAATATTTAGATAAATTCTAGTATCCTCCAAGTTATTTTGGAACCTTAGAAGGTCACTACTGATGTGTGTGTGTGTGTGTGTGTGTGTGTGTGTGAGTTGAGGGAGAATGGTGGGAGCAAATTCAGTCTAGGTTATCAGCAGCATCTTTAAAATGTTGCCCCTAGAACTGGAGCATAACACTCAAGATACATTTTGACCAGAAAAGAGTTCAATACAACTACCATATTGCTCATTCTGGATAGTATGTTCCTCTTATCTCACTCTAAGATACAATTATTTATTTGAGCTATTGTCATATTGTTGAAGCACATTGAGTTTGCAATTCATTAAAAATCACAGATTTTTCTTTTTAAAAAATTATATATTTTTTACTATCCTACAAGACGTGCCTTCTCATGCTTCTACCCCAAATTCTTCCCCACATTCATCAAGAAACTAAGAAAAATAAAACCCATTACAAACATGTATGACGATGTATAGCCAGTCAAAATGTATTTCCACATTGGCTTTGTCCAAAAATATTTGTCTCATTGTATACTCTGAGTCCATCACCTCTCAATCAGTAGGTAGATAACATGTTTCCTCATTAGTTCTCTGAAAGACTGGATAGTTATTACAAAGATAGGAGTTCAGCATATTAATCCATAACATTTACATACCATGACTTGTTCAACCATTCCCCAATTTATGCTAC